GGAAGGCAGCACATCACACTTCCATGTGTGTACCTATGCAACAATCTTGCATGTTCTTCACATGTACCCCAAAACCTAAAATGCAATTTAAAAGATAAATTTTTAAAATCAAAAAAAAAAGAAAGAAAGAAAAGAAATATACTACAAAGCAGCCTTACGCCTGTAATCCCAACACTTTGGGAGGCCAAGGTGGGCGGGTCTCTTGAGGTCAGGAGTTTGAGAGCAGCCTGGCAAACATGGTGAATCCCCAGCTCTATTAAAAATACAAAAAAAAATTGGCTGGATGGGGTGGTGTGTGCCTGCTTTCCCAGCTACTCAGGAGGCGGAAGCTGGAGAATCTTGAGCTTCAGAGGCAGAGATTGCAGTGAACTTAGAATGCACTACTGCACTCCATCCTGGGTGGGTGAGCAAGGCTCCATCTCAAAATTAAAAAATATATACTACAAAGTTATAGTAACAAAAACAGTATGGTACTTTAATAAAAACAGACACATAGGCCAACAGAGCAGAAAAGACATAAAAAATACATCCACATATTTAAGCCAACTTATTTTAGATATAGGCAAGAATTTTTATTAAAATGGACAGTATCTTCAAAAAATGAAGTTGAGAAAACTTTACATCCACATGCAGAGAAATAAAATGAGACCCTCTTCTCACACCATGTATAAAAATCAACTCAAATTAATACTTAAATGTAAAGCTTGAAGCTCCAAAATTACTATAAAAAATATAGAGTGAAAGCCCAAACATCGATCTAGGCCATTACTTTTATTGTTTAACCTCAAAATCCAAGGAAATCAAAAGAAAAATAGATAAGTCATATTACTTGAAATTAAAAAGGTGCTTCATGGAATCTGACAGAATTAACAGAATGAGACAACTAAAAAAAATGGGAGAAAATATTTGTAAATGATACATGAGACAAGGGATTAATAACAAAAATATATAAAAAACTTAAATGACTACACAATGGAAGATAAAGAACTATTAAAAATAAGCAAAAGGCTTAAATATATTTCAAGAAAAAACATACAAATGGTCAAGAGATATATAAAAACTGCTCCATATTAACAATTGAGGAAAGCAAAAAGAAAATCTAGGAGATTATCGACTGACTTCTGTTAGAATTACTCTTATTAAAAAGAAAAGAAAGTGTTAGTCAAAGCATGAAGAAATGGGAATGCTTGCACACTGTCTGGATGTGAATGGCGACAGTTATTATGAACAACAAAGATTTCTCAAAAAATTTAAAATTAAACCTCAATATCAATTTTACTATTGGTTATATGTCCAAAACAAATTCAGAATGAAGAAACATTTGTGCTTCTATGTTGTTTGCAATACTCTTCACAATTAGCAAAATACAGAATCAACAGTTCAACATTTATGAATAAAGACAATGTGGTATATATACACAATGGAATACTATTAACGTTTAAAAAAGAAATTTCTATTATTTTCAATCACATGAATTAACCTGGAGGACATTATATTTGTCAAAATGAGACAAGTACGAACATTATTATTTCATAATTTACACAGGGTTTCTAAAAAACTTAATCCTGTTAAAGAAGAGAATAAAGGGGTGACCAACAGACATCAAGTGATTTAGAAAAAAGGGGAGTCTGAAAAGATGTCGGTCAAAAAATACGTAACTATAGTTATGTATAACATTTATTTTTAGAGTAATGTATGTGTATAGTAGCTATGTAAACCAATACTAAAATTCTGTATGTTTGCAGGCAGAGACACATGTTCAAAGAAAAATACATGACAATTTTAAAAAAATGTTTAAGCAGAACTAAGACTCAGGATTTTGTTTACACGTGTATATAATTTTTATTATATCCATAAAAATGACCCTGTAGTCAACAGCAATTTATCTGTACATTTTAAAGTAACTAAAAGTGTAGAATTGGTTTATTACAAACATACCAAATAATAGATGCTGGAGTTGGTGGATACTTCATTTTCCCCAGTGTAATTAATACATATTTATATGCCTGTATCAAAATATGCCATACAGCCTGGGTGCAGTGGCTCACACCTGTATATCTCAGCACTTTGGGAGGCCAAGGCAGGTGGATCATGAGGTCAAGATCACGTTGGCCACCATCCTGGCCAACATGGTGAAACCCCATCTCTATTAAAAATACAAAAATTAGCTGGGCATGGTGGCACATGCCTGTAGTCCCAGCTACTCGGCAGGCTGAGGCAGAAGAACTGCTTGAACCCGGGAGGCGGAGGTTGCAGTGAGCTGAGATCACATCACTGCACTCCAGCCCAGTGACATAACAAGACTATGTCTCAGAAGGAAAAAAAAAAAAAAAAGAAATTTAACAAAAAACCATATATGGCATAAATATACACTGTATACCCACAAAAATTAAGAAAAATAAGTTTAAATAAGAAAAAAGTAAATATTTTAACCCATAGGAACAATATCATTTAACTTATTTGCAGTTTAAAGTCACTGGCAAAAGAAATTATTAGAGATGTTCGTCTATTATGTTATTTAAATAGTATACTGTTAACATCTTTTATCTACACCTTTGAGTAAGGTGGGAAAGGTTAAAGTTAGTGGCATATAACACTTCATTGACTGCACAATGGTCTTAATGTGTTAAAAAAAAAAAAGTTTGAATCAAAAAATTAAGTTCACAGGCTGGGCACGGTGGCTCACGCCTGTAATCCCAGCACTTTAAGAGGCCAAGGCGGGCAGATCACCTGAGGTCAAGGAGCCTGGCCAACATTGTGAAGCCCCATCTCTACTAAAAATAAAAAATTAGCCGGTTGTGGTGGCAGGCACCTGTAGTCCCGGTTGCTTGGGAGGCTGAGACAGAACAATCACTTGAACCTGGGAGGTGGGGGTTGCAATGAGCCAAGATCTAGCTACTGCATTCCAGCCTAGGGGACAGAGTGAGGCTCCATCTCAAAACAAAAACAAAAACAAAAACAAAAGAACATAATAATCTAAACATTTTTAAACTTGCTGCATTTTATTACATAGAAGTACAATTAGTAAAATGATATACTACTCACTTTAACTAAAATAAAAAATATTTTCACTATAATGCAGAATACCCCTCTGAACACGCTCCCTCATACGTCACTCATTATAAATTAAACACAGAGCCCCTCCACTTAGATTTTTATCATGCATCCTACATTGTAATGTCCTTACTCTTCCACAGAAAAGGTCAAACATAATTCTCACCTAACAAAAAAGAATGTCTCATATGTTTGATGAAGTAACAATTGACCACATGGTTTCACGTGTGAATACAATAGAAATGAAGAGCATGAATTTGAGTTCAATTATATTATTCACTTTTTAAAAATTCTGTAATTTTCAAAGAAAAAAGTAGACTTTAAATGTAATTATAACTGTAAAAACGTTTCTACCTCGCTTAAAGTTATATACAAATAATCTACCAACTTTAATTTTGGATTACTTTCTGTACTCAGCACACTGATTAAGTGTAATGTCTACAGTGTCAGTGCCTTAGATATTTCTACTGTGAATTTGCTGATATTTACACATACTTAATTTTATATTATTATTATTTTTTTTTTTTTGAGACGGAGTTTCGCTCTTGTTACCCAGGCTGGAATGCAATGGCGCGACCTCGGCTCACCGCAACCTCCGCCTCCTGGGTTCAGGCAATTCTCCTGCCTCAGCCTCCTGAGTAGCTGGGATTACAGACATGCGCCACCATGCCCAGCTAATTTTTTGTATTTTTAGTAGAGACGGGGTTTCACCATATTGACCAGGATGGTCTCGATCTCTTGACCTCGTGATCCGCCCGCCTAGGCCTCCCAAAGTACTGGGATTACAAGCGTGAGCCACCGCGCCCGGCCTTGTATTAGTTTTTTTTTAATACTTATTGCATCTGCAATAATATATTTAAGTATAAGCCCCCTGGTTTTTTCTAAGCTGTAGTTTTGGAAAAAATGTTTTTCCAAACATTGTATTTGCAGAGTTTCTCTCCAATATAAGCTCCCTGATGTTGATCAAAGTTTGAGCAACTGCTTCAGGATTTTCCTTTAGTACATAATGTGTACAATAAAATCTGTGATACACGTAAAGGCACTACAACCCTCTTTATGTTCTAATGTTTGTCTTCAAAATGAAAAACCTTTTTTTTTTTTGAGACAGAGTTTCGCTCTTGTTACCCAGGCTGGAGTGCAATGGCGCGATCTCGGCTCACCGCAACCTCTGCCTCCTGGGTTCAGGCAATTCTCCTGCCTCAGCCTCCTGAGTAGCTGGGATTACAGGCACGCACCACCATGCCCAGCTAATTTTTTGTATTTTTAGTAGAGATGGGGTTTCACCATGTTGACCAGGATGGTCTCGATCTCTTGACCTCGTGATCCACCCGCCTCGGCCTCCCAAAGTGCTGGGATTACAGGCGTGAGCCACCGCGCCCGGCCTAAAAACCTTCTCCTCTTTAAAGGCTCATACTGGCTGGGCACAGTGGCTCACACCTATAATCCCAGCACTTTGGGAGGCAGAAGCAGGTGGATCATTTGAGGTCAGGAGTTCAAGACCAGTCTGGCCAACATGGTGACAGCCATTCTCTACTAAAAATAGAAAAAATTAGCCAAGTGTGGTGGTGTGCACCTATAGTCCCAGCTACTCTGGAGGCTAAGGCAGGAGAATTTTTTGAACCTGGGAGGCAGAGGTTGCAGTGAGCCGAGATCACGCCACTGCACTTCAGCCTGGGTGACGGAGCAAGACTCCATCTAAAAAAAAAACAAAGATTCTATTTTCTGAAAGTTTTTTAAATTAATTGCATTTACAATGCTTTTATTAAGCACTGATTCTCTAATGTTGAATAAAATGTAAACAGACACTAATGGTGTCTTCACATTTACATTTGTACAATTTTTCTGAAATATAAGTGCTTTTCTGTGCAATAAGGTGTGAAAATTAATTAAAAGTTTTGCCACATTCTTCACACTTCTGGGAGTTTTCTCCCATATGAATTACTTACCTACAATCAAGTATGACAACCATTTAAAGGCTTTGTCACATTCTTCATATTTTTAGGATTTCTCACCAGTATTTCTTTTATGTTCAGTTTAAAAGCATTGCCACATTCTTCACATTTGCAGGGTTCTCTCAAATATAATTGCCTTATGTGTAGTAAGGGTTGAGTATAGGTTAGAAGCTTTGACACAGTCTTCACATATCTAAGGTTTCTCTTCAGTATTTTCCTTAGGTGCAGTAAGGTTTGAGAATAGGTTAAAAGCTTTGCCAAATTCTTCACATTTGTAGAGTTTCTCTCTAGTATGAATTATCTTATGTATAGTAAGGTGTGGGGACTGTTTTAAAAGCTTTACCACATGCTTTACATTTGTAGTTTCTCTCTAGTGTGAATTACTTTATGTTTAGTAAGAGTAGAGGACTGGTTAAAGGCCTTGCCACATTCTTCACATTTGTAGGATTTCTCTCTCATATGAATTTTTTTATGTCCTGTAAGGTTTGAAGATCGGTTAAAAACTTTGCCACATTCTTCACATTTTTAAGGTTTCTCTCCAGTATGAGTCATCTTACGTGTAGAAAGTATTGAAGACTGGTTAAAACCTTTACCACATTTTTCACATTTGTAAGGTTTCTCTGTGTGAATTTTCTTATGTGTAGTAAGTTTTGAGGATCGATTAAAAGTTTTGCCACATTCCTCACATTTGTAAGGTTTCTCTCCAGTATGAATTCTTTTATGTATAGTAAGGGTTGACACTTGGTTAAAAGCTTTGCCACATTCTTCACACTTGTAGGGTTTCTGTCCAGTATGAATTTTCTTATGTGTAGTAAGGTTTAAGAATTGGTTAAAAGCTTTTCCACATTCTTCACATTTGTAGGGTTTCTCTCCAGTATGAATTTTCTTATGTTTAGTAAGGTTTGAAGATCGGTTTAAAGCTTTGCCACATTCTTGACATTTGTAGGATTTTTCTCCAGTATGAATTTTCTTATGTTCAGTAAGGTTTGATGATTGATTAAAAGCTTTGTCACATTCTTCACACTTGTAGGGTTTCTCTCCAGTATGAATTATCTTATGCGTAGTAAGGGTTGAGAACTGGTTAAAAGCTTTTCCACATTCTTCACACTTGTAGGGTTTCTCTCCAGTATGAATTATCTTATGTGTAGAAAGGGTTGAAGATCGGTTAAAAGCTTTATCACATTCATTACATTTGTATGGTTTCTCTCCAGTATGAATCATCTTATGTTTAGCAAAGGTTGAGAATTCGTTAAAGTTTTGCCACATTCTTCACATTTGTAAGGTTTCTCTCCAGTATGAATGTTCTTATGTTCATTAAGTTTTGAGGATTGGTTAAAAGCTCTGCCACATTCATCACATTTGTATGGTTTCTCTTCAGTATGAATTATCTTATGTGTAGTAGGTGTTGAAGATCGGTTAAAAGCTTTGCCACATTCTTCACATTTGTAGGGTTTCTCTCCAAGATGAATTTTTTTATGTGTAGTAAGGTTGGAAGATAGGTTAAAGGATTTGCCACATTCTTCACATTTATAGGGTTTCCCTCCAGTATGAATTATTTTATGTGTAGTAAGGGTTGAAGATCGGTTAAAAGCTTTGCCACATTCTTCACATTTGTAGAGTTTCTCTTCAGTATGAATTTTCTTGTGTGTAGTAAGTTTTGAGGCTAGGTGAAAAATTTTGCCAGATTCTCTACATTTGTGGGGATTCTCTCCAGTATAGGTTATCTTATGTGTAGTAAGAGTTGAGGACTGGTTAAAGGCTTTGCCACATTCTCCACATATGTAGGGTTTCTCTCCAGTATGAATTAGCTTATGTCTAGTAAGGTTTGCGAGTTGGTTAAAAGCTTTGCCACATTCTTCACATTTGTAGGATTTCTCTGCAGTATGAATTTTCTTATGTTCAGTAAGGTTTGACAATCGGTTAAAAGCTTTGCCATATTCCTCACATTTGTAAGGTTTCTCTCCAGTATGAATTTTTTTTATGGTTAGTAAGGTTTGAAGATTGTTTAAAAGCTTTGCCACACTCTTCACATTTGTAGGGCTTCTCTTCTGTAGGAATTCTCTTATGTGTAGTAGGGGTTGAAGATTGGTTAAAGGCTTTGCCACATTCTTTACATTTGTACGGTTTTTCTCCAGTATGAATTCTCTTATGTTTAGTAAGCGTTGAGGACAAAGTTAAAGGCTCTTCTACATTCTTCACATTTGTAGAAATTCACTCTAGTATGAATTCTTTTATGTTGTGTTAGGTGTGAAAGCACGCAAAATGTTTTGCCACATTCTTTACATTTGAAATGTTTATTTTCAGTATGTCTCATTTTGTGTCTATTTGAATATGAAAATTTATGAAGGCCGGGCGCGGTGGCTCAAGCCTGTAATCCCAGCACTTTGGGAGGCCAAGGCGGGTGGATCACGAGGTCAAGAGATCGAGACCATCCTGGTCAACATGGTGAAACCCCGTCTCTACTAAAAATACAAAAAAAAAATTAGCTGGGCATGGTGGTGCGTGCCTGTAATCCCAGCTACTCAGGAGGCTGAGGCAGGAGAATTGCCTGAACCCAGAAGGCGGAGGTTGCGGTGAGCCGAGATCGTGCCATTGCACTCCAGCCTGGGTAACATGAGTGAAACTCCGTCTCAAAAAAAAAAAAAAGAAAATGTATGAAAGACTTTTACATGTTTATTACATTGAAATATTTTGCTCAAGGTAGTTTTCAAACATTGGTTAAGTCCATTATAACCTCCTTTGTGCTGCTTACATTCAACCACACTTTTATAGCCTTTTCTTAACTGTAAATTCACATGTCCACATTTTCTGTATCTTCTTAGAATCACTTTTTGGAAAGGCTCTCTTATGTTCTGCTCTGGCCAAAGGTGCCAGGCAAAATAATAACACATAACTGAAATAAATAAAAATAATAAATTACTTCACTTGCTAGACTCAGATGAATAAACTTTACAAATCTAACCCATCCCCCTCCCATGACATCATGGGAGTTCCCTCTCTCTCCCTACTTCTCTTTCTCTCTCTCTGCGTAATATATCACTTTTCCGGAAAAAAAAAAAAAAAAAAAAAGAAAAAAAATCTAACCCATAATGCTATGCAAACTACATAAGCAAGATGGCATAGCAAAATACCACAGGTTCTAATTCCTTCATAGACATATATATGTAACAAAAACATACTGATCAAAATACATTTGTGAAAAATTTACAAATGAGTTAACTGTGTGCAGTGTCCTGGGTTAGCACGGTGCAAAATGCCACAGAGAAGACAAATAAAAGTCTGTGACATTTACCTAATACAGCTCTTTCTGCTCCTCAATATAACAGTGTCTTTAGAAATAAATTGACAACTCTTGGTTTCTTTTTCAAAAGACAAGAAAAATAATAACACACACATCTTCATTTCTGGCTTCTAGGTGCTTCTGCAGACACTGGTTTCTGTCTCCCATGACATAAAGTGCCGAAATTATTGGTGATATACTTTGGAATGATATTTTGAGTCTGCTGAGATCAAAGGTAAATGTTATAGCAGCAAAGAGACAGGTACTACAGACAGGGAGCAGTTGTAGCAAGTGATTACTGACTGTTAAGAAGAAACATGAATAAAGTCTTCTCTCTTAAAAAAAAAAAAACTAGAACATTTCAGACAAGACACATCCTAAGAACACATTTGAAAGACTCTCAGGATCACTAGCTAAGACAAATTGTTTCAGACTTTGCCAGGACAAAGCTACATTATAGATATTGTGACAGGTAGCTTATTTTTAATGTTCAAATTTCAATTAAAGATTACAATGTATACAAATATTAGGGCAACATAGCTCTATCAAGTATTATAAAATTTTCAGAAAGCAACCATTAAAAAAATAAAGATAAACAAATTATTTTTAAAAATTTAAAATAAACTGAATACTCCATGAGTGAAACAGGAATACAGACAGTTACTGAAAATTAGAAAAATTGGGATAACAAAAACATTAAAAATATCAAAAAACAAAAATTGTGGAGGTAAGAAATACAAAAACGTAACTGAAAAATTCTAAGCAAATGATGTAAAAAAAAAAAAAGGCTTATACACACAAAGATATTTACAACAAGAACATATATAAGCACAATTTTAAAAGTCACAGACAAGAGAATCTTGTGAGATGCAAGACGGTGGAGGTAAGAAATTGTGGAGGTTGGCCAGGAGCAGTGGCTCCTGCCTGTAATCCCAGCACTGTGGGAGGCCCAGGCTGGTGGAGTACGAGGTCAGGAGTTTGAGAACAGCTGACCAACACAGTGAAACCATGTCTCTAATAAAAATAGAAAAATTAGCCAAGTGCCCAGCTACTCAGCAGGCTGAGGCAGGAGGATCACTTGAACTTGGGGGGTAGAGGCTGCAGGGAGCCAAGATCGCACTCCTGTACTCCAGTCTGGGCAACAGAGGGAGACTCTGTCTCAGAAAAAAAAAAATAAAATAAAAAAAATAAAAGAAATTGTGGAGGTCAAAAATACAAAAAAGTAACTAAAAAATTGTAAGAAAAAATAACGCAAAAGTGAAAAAGCTTAACAAGAAAACTAGAATATACACAAAGATATTTACAACAAGAACATATATAGGCACAATTTTTAAAGTCTCAGAAAAGAGAATAAACTCTTGTGAGTTACAAGATAAAAGTGATATGTCATTTGTAAGTATACTCTTATGAGATAATGAGTGAATTTCTCAAGAAAATTTTGCAGGCCAAAAGGGAACTGTATGACAATGTCAAAATCCTGAAGAAAACAGACATCAAGTGAGATTAATACCAGCAGCAAAATTATCCTGCCAAATAAAAAGAAGCCATTCCAAATCCTGAAAAGTTATGAAAAGGTATATAGGCACTGCATCTATTCGCCCTACATATGCAACTATATTTCAAAATTATAGCAGTAGGCCGGGCGTGGTGGCTCAAGCCTGTAATCCCAGCACTTTGGGAGGCCGAGGCGGGTGGATCACGAGGTCAAGAGATCGAGACCATCCTGGTCAACATGGTGAAACCCCATCTCTACTAAAAATACAAAAAATTAGCTGGGCATGGTGGTGCGTGCCTGTAATCCCAGCTACTCAGGAGGCTGAGGCAGGAGAATTGCCTGAACCCAGGAGGCGGAGGTTGTGGTGAGCCGAGATCGCGCCATTGCACTCCAGCCTGGGTAACAAGAGCGAGACTCCGTCTCAAAAAAAAAAAAAAAAATGGTGCTGGAATAACTAGCTAGCGCTATGTAGAAGGTTGAAACTGGATGCCTTCCTTACACTATATATAAAAATCAATTCAGGATGAATTAAACACTTAAATGTAGAACTCAAAATCATATATATATATATTTTTAAAAACTCTGAAAATAACCTAGAAAATTCTAGACATAAAAACTGACACAGATTTTATGATGAAGATACCAAAAGCAATTGCAACAGAAGCAAAAATTCACAAACAGGATCTAATAAAACTAAAGAGCTATTTCACAGCAACAGAAACAATCAACAGAGTAATCAGAAAACTTACAGACTAGAAGAAAATATTTGCACACTATGCTTCTGACAAAGGTCTAACATCCAGCATCCATAATAAACTTAAACAAATTTATTAAAAAACCAAAAACCTAATTAAAAAGTAAGCAAAAACATGAACAGATGCTTTTCAAAAGACATACATGTGGCTAACAAGCATATGAAAACAAAATTCACATTACTATTTATTAGAAAAATACAAAGAAAAACCACAATGAGATACCATCTCACCCAGTCAGAATGGCTATTAGTAAAAAACCAGTAACAGATGCTGTCAAGATTGCAGAGAAAAAGGAATGCTTATACACACTGCCTGTAGGACTGTAACCTAGTTCAACCATTGTGAAAAGCAATGTATTGATTCCTCACAGAACTAGAAACAATTGCCACTTGACCCAGCCACTTCCTAATTGGGTTTATACTCAAAGAAATACAAATTATTCTATCATAAAGACACAAACACATGCATGTTTGCTGCAGCACTATTCACAATAGCAAAGACTTGTAATGGCCCTAAATACCTATCAATGGTAAACTGGATAAAGAAAATATGGTATGGCATGGTGGCTCTCGCCTGTAATCACAACACTTTCATAGGCCAAGGCATGTGCATTGCCTGAGCTCAAAGGTTTGAAACCAGTCTGGGCAATGTGGCAAAACCATGTCTCTACAAAAAATACAGAAAGAAAAATTAGCCAGGAATAATAGTACGTACCCACACTCCCAGCTACTTGGGGGTCTGAGGTAGAAGGATTTCTTGCACCAGGGAGGTTGAGGCTACAGTGAGCCAGATGACACCACTGCACTTCAGCCTGGGTGACAGAGTGAGAGCCTGTCTCCAAAAATGAATAAAATATTTAATAAAAATAAAATATGGTATATAAATATAATGAATACTGTATGGCCATAAAAAATAAGATTGTGTCCTTTGCAGCAACATGGATAGAGTTGGACACCATTATCCTCAGAAAACTAATGCAGAAACAGAAAATCGAATGTATGTTCTTATTTCTAAGTAAGAGCTAAATAATAAGAACATATGAACACAAAAAAAGAAACAGTCACTGAGGCCTAGTTTAGGATGGAGGGTGAAAGGACAAAATGGATCAAATAAACATGTTTGGTGCTATTCTTGGTACCTCAGTGACAAAATAATCTGCAAACCAAATCCCTCGTGACACAATTTCATGTATATAACAAACCTGCATGTGTACCCCTGAGCCAAAAATAAAAGTTAAAAGAGAAAAAAATTCATGGTTGAGGGAGTGTAATGTAGGTGGAGAAACATGTAGGTTTGTGCTACAGATAGTGGCCCCGGTGGGGCTGTACACTGACTTCTGTGTCCATGCAGGCAGATGAGATTATGAACAGGTGGTCCAGAACCCTCAGTTGGTGGAGAAAACAGGTTGCTGCTGCAGACTTGGTGTCTGGGAACAGGAATATATCAGGAGACTTGTAGGCACTTTTGTGTGTTTTTGGCAAGAAACACTAGGATGAAAAATGCTGTTGTGAAATTCCTGAGGGTGGTGCCTATTCCTGTGAGGGGTGTGGACACATCAATGTCTAGTGGGTATGTCTGTGAGTGGGTGGGAATCCTGAGTGGCAGCCGTGGGAAAAGGGGGTCTGTTATCAGAGCTCCTTCCCTCTAACTTTTCAGTCCTCCCTTAACGTGGGAGGAGACCTGGAATCCCAGGACGATGGGCAATGTGACAGCCTGTGTACTGGAATGCGGAGCCTCCCATTCCCAGACACCCAGAGTTCCATTCCAGGCCAGGCCTTTGAGATGTGTTTCTTCTGGCACCAAAATTTTAACTTTTGCTGAACAATAAGCAATTTCAAAACCAACACACTGTCTAAAATTTGAATTTTGGCTTGATGTGGTGGCTCACGCCTGTAATCCAAATGCTTTGGAGGCCAAGGCGGGAGGATCACCTGAGGTTGGGAGTTCAAGACCAGCCTGACCAACATGGTGAAACCCTGTCTTTAAAAAAAAAAAAAAAAAAAAATATTGAATTTTGACCCCACTCAGGGTCAGCACACACCCTGATTCAGGGCTCAGTCCCACAACACTGTCCTCATTGTAGATGGCAGTCACAAACCCTATGGACCCATCTGTGCTTCTGAGCTACTGTTTAAAAATTCAGGACTCTCATAAATCTCTCAAGTTCAATAATTTTATAGAGCTACTCATAGAACTCAGCAAAACACTGTAGTTACGTTTACCCATTATACAAGATACAACCCAGAAAACTCAAATGGAAGAAATGTATAGTACAAAGAAAAGAGGTGAGGAAAAATGAAGCACATAGATACTCCTGGTAAATAGCTCTGATTAATATTTTCTATCCTTTGCATTCTCCAGGAACAGTTTATGGAAAGAAACACCCTCCCATTATGACTGTGATGGTGCCCTCTTGTCTTTCCTATCACATAAGCAGACACTGACTGCGTATTTTCTTTTTTCTATGAAAAATTAGCTAAATTTTTCTTCAGTGGTCAAAATAAAATGTTTTTTTTTTTTTTTTGTATGTTTTTGGGTTTTTTTTGAGATGAAGTCTCTCACTCTGTCACCCAGACTGGACTGTAGTGGCACGATCTCAGCTTACTGCAACCCCTGCCTCCAAGGTTCAAGTAATTCTCCTGCCTCAACCGCCAGAGTAGGTGGGTAACAGGCACATGCAACCACACCTGGCTAATTTTTGAATTTTTTTTTTTTTAGTAGAGACAGGGTTTCGCCATGTTGACCAGGCTGGTCTCGAACTCCTGACCTCAAGTGATCCACCCGCCTTGGCCTCCCAAAGTGCTGGGATTACAGGCGTGAGCCACAATGCCCAGCCTAAAATGCTTCCTTATCAAACTTTACTTAACTTTATCTCCTTTCCACAGGCTCCTAAACTTCCAGCTACCTTCAGTCTGAGCCAACATACAAACCCATTTTATGTCCCTCCTATAAACTTGTTGACTTCAGGGTAAAACATTTTCTGATCTAAAATCTGATTTTTCACCCTCCATTTGCCATTTCCCTCTGACCTTCTCATCTTTTTCGCTCCTCTCTAAGAAAGCAAGCCTTTATCTGTTTAACTGTGCAATCCTTAAAACTCTTGTGTTTGGTATTTCCTTCTGCTGCAATACTCTTTTAGAATTCAATTTTTTTTTTTTTACATAAACCTAGTTTAGCTCTATTTTACAGAAGTCTAAAAACTGCCTCAAAACAATAACAATTTCATCTTCAGTAAGACCCTCCCAATCCCCTTCCATCTTAATGTTAACTGCATCTGCCTGTGGGTCCCCAATGTTCCAGGGCTATATAGCTTCTCTCAGTATAAAGGCTTCTCCCACGGCTGGGGTGAGCAGGCTGGGATACCTACAGGGAAGGTTTCCTACCTTTTTTGTATTAAAACGTTAGCTAAATTTTTCTTCCCTCCCTGGCCAGGTACGGTGGTTCATGCCTGTAATCCCAGCACTTTGGGAGGCCGAGGAGTGGGAGAGAAATCACCTGATGTCAGGAGTTCGAGACCAGCCTGGCTAACATGGTGAAACCTCATATCTACTAAAAATATAAAATTAGCCAGGTGTGATGGCATGTGCCTGTAATTCCAGCTACCTGGGGGCTGAGGCAGGAGAATGTGGAACCTGGGATGGGGAGGCTGCAGTGAGCTGAGATTGCGCCACTGCACTCCAGTCTGGGTGACAGAATGAGACTCTGTCTCAAAAAAAAAAAAAAAAAAAAAAAAAACAGATGTGTCTGACTCATGTCAAGTCAGGCCACCCAACAATTGAGAGATTCTCCCACCCCATCCTGCTCACTTAATTGCTCAATGACCACCTTGTCAGGAGACACTGCCTTATGCCCCAGTGAATGCCCTGGCTGCATTTCACTTTGCAAGTTATTTAACCATCTCACTGGGGCCAGGTTTGATATTTTTCTTTTTGTCTTTTGGGATACTATTTTCTCTTTCACAAATCTTAGAGAATCCAGGGAGCAGAAATTATTTGTGTTTTTCCCTCAATACCAGCATCTGATTGGCTGACCAGCAATGTGTCTGGCGAAATGAAAGCTGGGTTGGGTTGAAGACAATCTTAAACTTCTCAAAGGGTTTGCTTTCCAAAGAAAGAGTACACCAGGAGATTCCCCTCAGCCCCAGGGCATCCAGCTGCTCCCTGGAGACGCTCCCCTCCAACCTCAGGCTGTCCCGCATCTCCCATTCCCAGATACTCAGACTCCCATTCCACGCCAGGAGCTGACATTCACTAGACATTCCAGCCACAGTGGGTATCTTGGTTTATCCCTAGAAAATACTGAAACTCAGGACCAGGGAAAAAACTGAAGGTTGGCTGAGGACACATTACCTTATAAAGTTTCCAAAGGGAAACTGTGACCCAAAAATATTCTGGTAAGATCTCTGTCCCTAGAAGTAATATAAAAGCAAAGGAGGCACAGATATTTTTTAAAGCACAGAGTCAGGGGATTATTCTTTGCTTTCTTCTCTTGGGAAATATTTATAAACAGAAAACAAATCTTTTAAAAAATACCATCCAATGCTTTGTTAAAAAAATAATTAATTAAAATATGGCATCTAAAATGTACACTAAAGGACAAATAGTTGATAATGTGAATTAGGGAGGGGAAGTTGGCATCTGGGAATGTCAGAAGGAACCGGAAATTTAGTATTTTACTGCAAGCCAGAGTTAGGCTGGAGGATTGGGAGATGGGGAGGATCTGGAGACTCTGCTTGGACACATATGAAAAATGCAGGGGAAAATCAGTCCCCTGTGGAGTGTGAAAATAATTAAGTGGCAGGCAAGTAGCCTGAGGTGGATCCAGCCCCTGGGTTTTTACTTTCAAAAAAATCTAACTGGAATGCATTTTTTCCATATTATTACATTGGAGGAAACAAAATTCAGGCTTAACCAACTATAAACTGCCAAATTAACCTCTGAAAACATGACCAGGTAATTTCCACCTTCAATGTACAAATTAAGAAACTACAAAACTCTAATCACTTACTGAATTTGCTTTCCTTTATCATGCATCTTATAGAAGTGTTTTCTTCAAGCCTCTCCCATAAACCACAAATTACAAAACATAGCTTCGTGCTCTATAATTCTTGAATTACTCTTTGACTAAATTCTTCTAACAATTTTTGCAGTGACTTTCACAAATTTTTAATAGGAAAAAAAGGGCCTGGGAACCCCATGGACCAAAGCTCTTCCCATTCATGAGCCCCGCACCCCGCGTCAGGATTCTCCCCGGACGACCCTCCCGTGGTCCCCGCACGGCCGGGGAGAGATGCGGCGCTGCGGGTGCAGAGCTGCCCGGAGAGGGCTCCAGGCCAGGGCAGAGTCGCTGCGCAGGGAGAAGACAGGACGCCCGGGGTCCGGCTGTCAGCCGCCATCTTATGTCCGAAGGGGACTGAGGGCCGGGCTCGCCCAGGAGAACTCGGGCCGCGGATTTTGGAGCCGACTGCGGGGAGGCCCGAGTCCCGCCAGTCACTTCCGACCAGTTCCAACCAGGCCCTCCCCCTCTCCCGGGATGTCGGACCCGGCAGGCTCACCATTTCTAGGCTTCAGGGGTTCCCGGCGTCTTAGCTGTGCATCTCCCAGTACCTGCGGGTAACCGGGCCACGGAGGCCGGGCCTCCAGGAGCAGAGGACGCAGCACTGAAGAGAAGAGCGGGCGCTCCGGCTGCAGCCGGAGACAAAGGCCCCGCCAAATCCGGAAGCCAGCCTGTCCGCTCCAGCCGCGTGCCTGATTGGACGGTTCCCAGAACAGCATCTCTGATTGGATGACGTTTAGGGCCCCACCCCCGAATGCCCTGAGTGACAGAAGGTGTGCTCAGCTGCCGGGCTGAATGAAGATGAGTGAAACCTAAGCCTTCTCAGGCGGGGCTTCCTCCTTGAGCCGAGCCAGGCCCTCCCCATTGCATTGTAAGGCAACCCTCTGAAATAAAATGTGAGCCCCAGGTGAATTCTAAATTTTCTAGTAGTTAAGAAGAAAGAACAGATGAAATTCATTTAACCACTTAATAACTCAATATATCCAAAATAGTATTTTAATATATGAGCAATATGTAATTATTAATGTAGTATATATATTCTTGGAACTAAATCTTTAAATCTAACTCTGACTCATATGCCTGTAATCCCAACACTTTAGGAGGCCGAGGTCGGTGCATCACCTGAGGTCGGGACTAGCCTGACCAACATGGAGAAACCCTGTCTCTACTAAAAATACAAAATTAGCTGGGTGTGATGGCTCATGCCTGTAATCCCAGCTACTTGGGAGGCTGACGCAGAAGAATTGCTTAAAATCAGGAGGCGGAGGTTGTGGTGAGCCAAGATCACACCACTGCACTCCAGACTGGGTAACAAGAGCGAAAATCAGTCTCAAAAAAAAAAAAAAGAAAAAGAAAAAAAATCTAGCTCTGTATTTTACCTTTCCAGCACATTGCAGTTCAGACCAGCCACACTCCCGGCACCCTGTAGCCACACACGGCCAAAAGCCGCCACATTCAAGTGCAGCTGTGACATCAGGGGAGGTGAAAGGCCTGAACATCCCTTTTCTGCCAAAGGTGGGGGAAGAGCCCCTCCCTACCAACATCTCTTCAGTTCTGAGGATGGAGTAGAGCATGGCCATAAAAAGAGCAGAGGATAGCAGGAATAAAATTACCTTAGGTACTGAGGTTACAAGCACTGCTGGCCACCAGTTGCTCACATTTCTTCAAGAGATTAGACAGTAAACAAAGAATGATGACGTCACAGGAGAATAAAACTGTATGTCTTTAGATCTGTACGCAGTATAGCCCTCCAATGGTCAGGCTGTGGTTATCTGCTTTCTCCTGTTGTATGAGATGCTGTGCGAGTATAAGCACCAATCACGTGCATACATGTCCACATGTATTTCTGCATTTCTCAACATCATCTTACAAGACATTCAACTTAAATCAGGGGAGAAAATCAGTATTTTCAGGGTGCCCACTGTAAGAAGGTAACTAGTAACCAGTCTGTCATTAAAACCTGGCATCCTATCTGCACTAGGTGCATGTACTAGTTAGCTGTTACAGCGTAACAAACCATCCAAAACTCCTTAGCTCATAATTGAGATGGCTAGTCATTTAGGCTGGGCTCAGTGGGACCATTCTTCTGTGTCATTTGAGCTCCTTCAGACATTTATCATCAGCTGCTTGTTGACTAAGCAGCTATGCTTCTGGGGGAGAGCTTCTGCTTCTGGGGCTGTCAACAGAGGCAACTTGCTTCTCCTCCCCATAGTATCTTATCTTTCATCTGGCTTATATGGGCTTTTTCATGGAGATGGCAGCCTTCTGACAGAAAAACAGAAGCATTCAAGACCTTTTGAGCCTAGGCCTCAAACTGGCATACTGTCATGTTCACAGGTTTCTACTGCCCTGAGCAAATAAGGCCACCTGGATCCAGGGTTTGGAAAACAGATTCTGGATCTCAATGGGAACAGCTGTGAAAGTACCCGGGAGTGGGCATGGATATAGGAGGGATAAAAAATTGCTACCATTTTTTGCAATCAGGATCATCGTGCTGTTTTTTGCGTATGTGGTTTATAGAACTCTTTCACATCAATAAATTGTCCAAAGGCCCACAGCTTCTAATGGCTGGGCTGGGACTCAGGATCAACTCCATGTGACCCTTGAAATCCTGGAGAGTAACACTTCTAAAATGGACGCCAAATTTCTTTTAGATTTGTGCCCATATAGTACTGTTTATTATTAGAATAATCTAAAGAAAGCTGGGCATGGTGGCTCAAGCGTGTAATCCCAGCACTTTGGGAGGCCAACGTGGGTGGATCATGAGATCAGGACTTCGAGACCAACTTGGCCAATGTGGTGAAACCCCATCTCTACTAAAAATACAAAAAAAAAAAAAAAAAAAATCAGCCAGGTGTGGTGGCAGGCATCTGTAGTTCTAGCTAGTTGGGAGGCTGAGGCAGGAGAACCTTCTGAACCTGGGAGGCAGAGGTTGCAGTGAGCCAAGATCATGTCACTGCACTCCAGCCTGGGTGACAGAGTGAGACTCCATCTCAAAATAAATAAATAAATAAATAATCTTAAGAATTGGCAGAAACACATGGTGGCTCACACCTGTCATCCTAGCACTTTGGCAGGGTGAGATGGGTGAACCACTTGCACTCACGAGCTCAAGTGCAGTCTAGACAACATAGTAAGATCCTGTTTCCATTAAAATTTAAAAAAAAAAATTAGCCAGGCATGATAAGGAATGCCTGTAGCTCCAGCTCCTCAGATAGCAGATGTAGGAGGATTGCTTGAGCCTAGAAAGTCAAGGCTGCATTGATCCATGATTGATTACACCACTGCATTCTAGCCTGGGTTATAGAGTCAAACCCTGTCTCAAAAAAAAAATAAATAAATAAAAATAAAAAAGGAAAAAAGAAATTGCAAGAGCATTTCAAAATGACATAGAATAATTTGGAAAAAATAGCTGAGGGATGAGTTGAGAAAACCAAAGTTCAACCACAGATTACTTATTTTTTTATCACAAAAAAATTTGAAAGCTTAGAAAAAAACTCTAGAGAAATTAAATGTTACGGAGTTTAATTGAACAAAAATTATTTGCAAATCACACAGCCTGTGGAGCCAGAGTAGGCTCGGAAAGACTCCAACACAGCCACATGGTAAAAAAAGACTGATGAACAGAAAAAGCAAAGCGATATACAGAAAATGAAAGTGAGGTACAGAAACAGATTGATTACAGCTTGGGATTTTTGCCTGATTTGAACATGGTTTGAAGATTTGATATTCTTTTATTGACAAAATCACAGTGGTTAGTACAGGAATGGGTTACAGTCTATTTACATATCTATTAGGTTTCAGTTTACTATGTACAAAAAGAAAAAATCTATTGACAAAAATTAGACATGAAAGGGGACAGCTTCAGGCTATAACTACTTTAACAATTTCTCCCTTTGGGTTAACTTCTCAATTTTGAGAGATAGATCAAAACTTTAAACATTGATATTATTCTACCATCATCAAAAATATACTTATTTAGTCTCAAATCTCACTGTGAAATAGCAGAACTGTGAGTTTTGTAAAGTGGAAACAAGAACTTGAGGATATTAATTATTTAAAGGATTACAGTAGAAGGAGCCTCATTGAGTTAACATTTGCTTACAGAATAAAAATAAAACCTGGCCTGTTTTAGGATCTACCTATTTCTTACATTTTTAGTTTGAGTATGTCATATTTAGCATGAGTGACTCCATTTTGGTTTGGTTTAATTTGGTCTGTTTGAGCGTAGTGTACAAGCTCAGTTCAGAATCATGGCCTCTAATAATTTTCTTTTAAAAATTTTCCCATTCTGGTTAAGTTGTCACATAGATCAGAGTGTGACCAAAACTTAGGGTTTTAGTACCACTCTCAGTTTCCACTATTTTTGGTTTTTGTCCTTATCATGTCATTCATAGGTTATGGTGTCCTTATGGTCACATGTGTCTTTGAGTTTTCATCATTCCCTTTAAAGAGAGATCATCTGACATTCTAGAGATGACTGCATGCAAACATTTATAACTTTTAAGAGAATACAGTGCAGTAGTGAGACTACTCATTTGACTATTGGCAGGATAATGCCAACAGTTTGAAGTATGCTTTTTTTTTTTTGAGACAAATCCTTGCTCTGTTACCCAGCCTGGAGTGCAATGGCACAATCTCCTCTCACTGCAACCTCTGCCTTCTAGGTTCAAGCAATTCTCCTGGTTCAGTCTCCCAAAGTGCTAGGATTACAGGCATGAGCCACTGCACCCCACCAGAAGTATGCTCTTTAACCAGAGTCCCCATGAACAAACCAACTGAAATTAAATAGATCAAATAATCAGCTAAATAAATGGCTTACTCATTTCAACCAAGCAGACGTGCTCAGAACACTTACATTAGCCTACAGTTGGGCAAAATCAACTAAGACAAAGCTTATGTTATAATAAAGTATTGAAAATCTCGGCCGGGCGCGGAGGCTCACGCCTGTAATCCCAGCACTTTGGGAGGCCGAGGCGGGTGGATCACGAGGTCAAGAGATCGAGACCATCCTGGTCAACATGGTGAAACCTCGTCTCTACTAAAAATACAAAAATTAGCTGGGCATGGTGGCACGTGCCTGTAGTCCCAGCTACTCGGGAGGCTGAGGCAGGAGAATTGCCTGAACCCAGGAGGCGGAGGTTGCGGTGAGCCGAGATCGCGCCATTGCACTCCAGCCTGGGTAACAAGAGCGAAACTCCGTCTCAAAAAATAAATAAATAAATAAATAAATAAATTATGACTTATATGTTACTTTAACGTATATATTCAAGCATGTTATTGTAGAACTTCTGAAACTAAAATTATAGACAAATTTCACATATGACAATTCAGAAAGTAAAAACACAATCATGGTAATCTTCATATTAAAGAAGACAGAATTATAAAATAATAATTGAGAAATAAGATAACAATTGGAAATTTACTATATGTATAACAATGTTCTAAGTTTTCTCACGGCAAAAGTTTTTGCAAGAAATCTCTGAAATGAGTACCTACAGTAACTACAGCCAAGGACCAGAGCAGCATTACTGCATCCACATGGGGTTTTTGCTGGAACCAGTAAGTCTCTGCCAGCCCCCCTCAGGCTCCTGGGATGGCATTTGTTCTGGGTCTGTGGACAGACAACCAGGGCACTTGCTGAGTGCCCACCCACTCCTTGTAGGCCCACAGCCTATCACTCAACCTCAAACCCACCAACCCCAGCTTCCCAAGCCAT